TCAGTTGGCCCACAGCCATTGTTTTCCCATCTAGTTTATCTTTTTTCTGGTAGTAATACCTTCCCGTCCTTCCATCCATGCAAAGCCATCTGTAAATGTACAGCCGGGCTTAAGTGCTAATACCTATGATCCACACTGTATTACTGGCAGTAATGTCGGTCAGTTTCCAGGGATCGTAATGAAAACTACGCTAGCAAGTGTTACTTGTATTTCAGGCAAATACTGGCTTGATCCTAACGGAGGATGCGCAGAAGATGCCTTCCAAGCTGAGTGCAAGTTCTCCTCTGGAGGACAAACTTGTGTATATCCAAACCAACAACAGGTAACGTTTATCTCAGAATCTCCTGTTGGGTTCCTTCCTACTGGATCACCGAAAGGACCGAACGCAAATCGGCCCTTGCCCTTGCAAAGATCCCATGCGTCGTTCATCGTTTGTGTCCATGACTCCGCGATTCGCGCTGTTAAGTGTGGTGTTTTCTACAGGTTGCCGAATTTGCTCTGAATGCTCAAGACGAAGCGCGTTTTTATCCAGCTATCGAGGTCCAACAAATGGAAAACGAAAACCAACACATTTTTTTCGAGATAAAAAAAAAAGAGAATTAATAAATATATAGATCACTTTCTTTAAGTGTCAGTGTTTAGCACCACTGTACTAATTGTGGACTCTGCAATAAGCAAACAAATATTGTGAATTGAGCAGAAACTTGTCAAAAATCCCAACTGGCGGGAGGCTGACCAGTTGGCTATTTGCAAAGCGTGCAGGAGTTGATCTGGGACCACCAAACACAGATCCATCCAATGGCACGGAGGAGGATTTGAACTCGGGACCTTCGGATTACAAATCCAGCGCCCTAACCACAAGGCCAGGCTGCCTCCTGATGAGGCAATTACTGAAAAACTACTCTACTGAGTGATAAATTATGGAATCGTATATTGTGTCGTTGATTTGAAGTCTTAGTTTTCTTCGTAGTAAAACTGCCAGATGGTAGTAAAAGCAAACTTAAACGACAGTGAGCAAGTCTGATTCACATTTTTTTAATTCCTTTTTTTTTTCTTCCTCATACCTTCTACTGCTGTTGCTCCGTGGTTTGTACTCACACTCATAAAGCCTTGTTGAATGTTTATATTGGTCGATGCACTTAGCTACATGTACAACTAGCTTCATTAATGATAAACTAACTAAAGGAACTTAATAAACTTATGTGGCTGCAAACTCACTATTTCGAAACCAGAAGTGACATTTTTGTTGTATTTTATTTTAGGATGACAAATTAAAGGACAAGGTCAAGGTATTTTGATATTTTACCGTTATTTTCGATTCTCGGCTGATCAACAGAGTAGTTATAACTTCAGAATTTACCGCCCGAGACCTCTACTCTCAAAGAACAATTCCCTGATGACTGAAACAGCGACGTCATATTACCGGGTAACTTCAAAGATGAGTTCTGAGAATCTTTAATTCAGAACTGAGGAGTGTATTCTTTGGCACTGTATTTCACTAGAACAAAGTTACTTCGAGACCGTATTTTGCTTGCGGCCAAACAATAGGCACAATTTCCCAGTACCCATAAACAGCAAAAGTGGAAATATGCCATTTACTTCTTTTAGCCAAGTAGTGAAAGCACCGAAGTTGGACGTTTGACCTGGGCCCTGGAAGGCTTGTCTTGAAACGTTTGCCCGCTTGACTATTCATTAATCGGTTCTGTTTTGTTGCAGTTCTCTTACGACGTAAGTCCAACACAGTTCAAGTTCCTTCGTCTACTGAGCAAAGAAGGTGTCCAAGACGTCTCACACGAATGCCTCGACAATGCCTTCGACCTGACCATATCTAGTTTTAACGGACAAAAGATTTCCTCTTCTCATCCTCAGTGTAAGGTAAGATAACCTGTATTCCATCTACAGACAAGGCTAACAGAAGATAGGCTGCGATGTTGAGAAAGCAGGACTTCTTCGTTTAATTAGAGAGTCATATTGGTTTTGCAGGATATATGTTGATGTTGTTCTTAGTTTTTTTCCCTAACATTCCAAGACATATATAAGTGTTAATGTAGACCAGCTAATTTGGTCGTTTAACTTTTTATGCGCGCACCGAACATCCTTCTCTGCAAAGCGCGTGCTAGGATCCTGTTTATCAAGTTTTCTCACGACCTGTGACAGCTCCCAAAACAAACCTCAAGAGAAATCTAACTACAGAGAGAATATTCTGGTTTGTTTGTTTGTTTGTTTTTTTATGTCACTTTTTGCAAGTACACCGTAGTCATGAAAAAATGGACTGCTTTATGGAGATTTTAAATGTCCTTCGCGGCCCTTTGTTGTGTCGTCGCGCAACGCTTCCCTCGGCTTCAACTTTGCTTCCCGAAGAAGCGCTACGTGACAGTTCAAAGAATGGCCTTGAAAGAGACTCGTCAACTTCAACGGCCTGAAGAATCTGTTAAGCCTGGTTCTCACTCCGACATGAGCACAAGCATAAGCATACCGGTAGTAAGAACGCCAACAGCACAAACACGCGTTAGTGAGGACGCGCACAACACAAGCTGAAGTAGAACAAAAGTCTTTGTCGTTCTTTTGCTTGTGCTTATGTTTCTGTCAAGTGAGAACGCGCTTCTGTAAGCATAAACATAAGCATAAGCGAAAGTCCGCCATCTTGTTTTACTGTATCGAGGATTTATGGAACCGAAAATAAGACAAATATCTATTCTGCGGATGCCTGGGTGTTTATGCTTGTGTTGACGGTGGGCGTCATCACTATTGTTATGCCTGTACTTGTGCTTATGTCATTGTGAAAACTGAGCTTTAGTTGATAGACCTTACAGTATTCAACGGGAAATTTAAGCTTTGTTCTCAGTTTAACACTGTTTTTGCTTTTTTTCAGACCGGCCAGAACCAAGTGCACTCCGTCACCAAGAAGGAATTACTTCCTTTGAAAGACATGTCTACCACACACCAGCAGCCAATCAGATACACGCTCGGCCCAGTCTGTTTCCAATAATTTGCGTCTTTAGTTGTTAAGTTTATTTTTACCGTAGTGTCAGGATAGAAATTCAACTCAGAATCAGATTCGTATCACTGGGTGCGAAGAGCAACAAGTCTTAATAACAGAAAGAGAACAATTAATAGCAGTCGAGAGTGGAACAGATGCTTACTCCCTTGTATGTGTTAGTATAAATAAACTGTACCTATATAAATGTATACGTGTTTGTATATCAAGAACGTTGGGAGTTGTAAACATGCTTAAAATACAAATGGTTTCTCTCATTTTATGTGTCATGGGTGCGTTTAAAGATATCTTGTAGTGGAAGTATCTGTGGAAAATAAAAATCTTCATGAGCGGGGACATAGCATAAGAATGTTGTGTGGGGTATCTTAGCGCCTCGCCCCGAACGACCCGTCGGGCAAATGAGGGCAGATCGAGCGGGTAAGCGTTCCTTTGATCTGAGGGCGTGTTTAAAACACGAAATGGCGAAATGGCACCCCAGTTAGCCTGAATAGCGCTCAGGTTAGCCTAAATAGCGCTCCGGTTAGCCTAAATACCACTGAATCGACAGTGGTTAGCGCAAAGTTTATTAAACTGCGCAAAGCCTGAGTGGCGTGAGAGAAGACGTCTTCTTACAAAGTTCGTGACTTTGAAAACAGAAGGCTTAGCAATACAACGCTATAAAAAGCTGTTAACAGAGCGACGTGTTTTCGGTGTCTGTTAAAGGAACGAAAGCCAGCGTTTTCAAAGCTGACACTTTTGCGTCAATGGAAGCTGCAAAGGGGTTTAAATGCATATTGCATGCAGTTCTTGGCCCACTCGTAAAGGTGAAATTTTAAAACATTTTTTGAAGGTAACAAGTCTTCGAAATTTTTATTGCTTATCGATATGGCAAGGGTGACCTTTTCCTTTCCTCAGTATTACTCCACAATCGTACGCAACCCCTCTTTCACCCGTGGTCCAGGTCTCCTCGCTGAACGCGCTCAACACCTTGGAAACGACACCTGGAACTTGGAACCAGACTCTCATTGCCTCTCATGGCCATGGCACATCCATGGCATACCGCTGTACTTTAAACTGCAGACGCAAATAGAAAATGGCGGATAAACATGGCTTTTTTGCAGATTTGTCGTCGACAGCAGGCAGTTTTCGAAGGTGTTACTCATTCCTTACAACGTTTAGTGACAAGGAGAAGTTTTTATAGTTCTTGCACACTACACCGGTCTCTACAGAACCAGCCTGTGTGTCCAGGTAAGACATGAATGGGGATCCAAAATATATTTTCGATGCTAACGTGCGTCAGCTGTATGAGGCTTACTGAAGACTAGTAACTGTAAACGCTTTGCATGGTGAACGTGTTTATGTCGGTCAAATCAGCGCTTGATGATGCAAATTTGATTGTGATGAAGCATGATCAAATGCTCAGAGATCGCGGGAGTTAAACTAGACAAAACAAAATTTGGACTTGAAAATCACATGGATAGAACTTTGCACGTGCGTGCTGAAATGTTACGTAAAGCTTTTTAAAAAAGGCTTGAATTTCAGCAATGTTTTATTTCTGTTTTGGAGCAAATACTTCAGGACTTAAACGTCCTGAAGTCCATCAAAGGGAACACAGCTGTATACCATCAGGGCTATAGAGAGTTCCTTCTCCCACAGTTCCTTTCACGGTGGTCAGTGGTTTCTGGTCACCTTCAGTTAATGTAATGAGGTGTCTTTGGCAACTCTGGTAATTATTGTGACCACTTAACACGGCTTTACACAAGGATGGAGTCACTAAAAGGCAACTTATGGAAATGTTTTGCTCCGAGTACTAGTGCTGCATATGATGCCACAGACTGCTACCTTCTTTCCATGCACAATGTTATTTGGAAATTCCATTTTTTATCTGCACCCCTTTTTGGAGGGCAACGTCAAGGAGGGCAACCTCTGGCATAGGGCCTTTTAATATTTTTCAAGGAAGCTGACAAAATTGTAACCCCCCCTCCCCTCCCTCCCCCCTCCCAGATACAAACCCCCAAGGATCCAAGGATGCTGACAACAAAAATCTAGGGTGTCTGAATCTGTCCTTCCATGGAGATTGAGGTTGTTTGGGGGAAAGGTTGGGTGGAGATGAAAAGTGGAGAGTTCTGCAACTTTTTCCCCATTCTTAATTTTGTTGTAATCATGTTTGTCTTCTATTTGTTTTTTTGCAGCTAAATGTACATTCTCCTTTGTAAGGCCAAGATTGAGCAATCGACCACCCACCTTCTTGTTTACTACTCAAGCTTTTCCTCTTCAACAAAAAGTTGTTGAATCAGTTGTAAAAGATGAGTCTTCAGCTGAAGGAGGAAAGGCAACATCAGGGCAAAAAACAAAAAACAAAACAAAGCAAAGCAAGAAGAAAAAGGACAAAAAGAAGGGAAAGACTGGTGAAGCTGTAAAAGACACAAACTCAAATGAAGTTGATAATACTGCAAGCAAGCAACAGGATTTAGCTGCAAGCAAAAAGAAAAAAGCAAAGCAAAGCAAATCAACAGCAAATAACAAGAACAAAAAGCGAAAAAGTAGTGCTAAAGCTGTTGAAGCAATAAAGGATGGAAATGCCATTAAGGACCAGGAGAATATTGTACACAATATTGATAAAAAACAGAGTTCGACTGCCAAGTATGCTGCAACTGATGCTAAAATACAAACTGAACAAATAAATACAGATACTAAAGGTGGAAACACATGGAAAGATCGTAGTAGACAGCAAAATTCAGACAACACATTTTCTAAGGNATTATCGTGCCAACTCCGCTCAAATAAAAAGCTACTTCGCAGGAAGCCCACTCTTAAAATAATGTAAACTCACCGTGATTTGAACTCCTGATCTGACTCTGTAGTCCACCTACATCTCCACTAGGCTGCGCAAGCAATCGTTGCAAATTTACTCTTGGAAATCATATTTTTTCGGTGTGATAAGTTATTGATCCGAGACCCACCCTTTCACTTTAGTACAAGTTAACCTAGGTTGGAATCATTCTGACCCAAAGAACAAATTGGCCCACAACATGTGCATGTACTGTACAAGTCTGATGAAATGGTAAAAAAACTATCTTTCTCAAAGTTGATCACCCTACATTCGTTAATGGTAATTTGGTAACAATGTACATTTGTTGATTTCTTCTTCACAGGAGACACCTTGCATCCCAGATATGCGTCCCTTTTTCAAATCTTTGAACATGATGAGCTTGCTGACATAATGTTGGACACCATTGTGTTTTATGTCAAGGGACGTATCGAAGGAGTTCCTTTGTATGGCATTAGTGGAGAGCTGGGCTCTGTGCTTAACCTGAAGTACATCGTGAAACACAGAGTGCGGTCAGGGATGTTAGACAAGGTACATTTACATGGTAATGCAATCTGACATTAAGTTGCATATTAATTAATCGTCAGCAGCAAGATGTGAAATTTTCAGTGAACAGTTTGGTGAACTTGATAGGAAATTTTTTAAGAATGAGTAAAATTCTCAGAACATGTACATGGTACTGTAAGTGGCACTATAAGAAAACCTGATTAATATTTTTGACATTATGGTTAAAAGATCAAGTGCCCAGCTACAGTACATCTCCTTGTACAGTAAATAGTTGATTTGAAATGTTAAGGCTGGTTTTCACTAGAATATAAGCATAAGATGTTGATAATTAGCACCTTTTGTTAGGAGAGGGTGCCAATTATTACTGGAGCCGTGTATGTTGGGTTATGCTTATGCTTATGTGCTAGTGAAAACAAGCCTTAAGCAGTACACTTACTGTGGCAAATAAATTCCCTCAACGTCAACTTATATGAACTTGACCTGAACATTGCAACTAAAAGGCACTCTAACAGGAGACAAGAAGAGGCATTGCTAATTATAATTATGCACAGACAAAATTACAGCAAATACATGTAGGTAAATACCTTCGGGCTGCACTGTATATTATAGATTTGCTATGTACATGTACAGCATTGTTTGCTTCAGATGAAGGCCATATATCAGGACTACTTTTCATATTTAATGGATGAAAAAGTTATGGCCACAAAGATGGCGCGAGAGTTCTGGAATGAGCTTGATGATATGTTGCCCCTTGGAGCTTCACTACAGCAAGATGTTCCAAACTGGCCTTGGGCAACAAAAGTTGTGGTATGTACCATTAAAGTTGTGATCCACAAGGGTTGCATGAACATACAGTTCACATAATATTCCCTTGTTTTAAAATTTATTTACTTTTAAGTTTCTACATGTAGCTTCCACACTTTGCTTGATGAGTATAATCTTTAAAATAAGTCTACCTGCATGAATCTTGCATGGTTATTGGGTTATTGTCTACCTTCAAATAGCACGTACACAAGAATTTATAAATGGTACTGTATATCATAAGTAGTTGATTTCTGGAAATTTGCATAATTTTACAAACTCAGTTTTCTTTAACCCGCTCATAGTAAAACAGAGGCGAGGCATCTATTCTGTGAGAGTTGTAAATTACGAGTCTTGAAGAGAAAGAAGAAAAACCTATCTTTGTAAGACTGTTCACGTAACTTTGACGGCCCATGGCTTATGATACAAATTAAGATAGCCTGCCATATTTCAAACCAGGCTTGATAAATAAAGTCAAGAGTCAAGCCTTTGGATCAAACCATGTTTTAAATCTTCCTCTGAAGACGTGAATAGAATTGACGAAAGGAACTTTACATGTTGCTCTTGGAAGGAAAAGCTCGACATGGTTTCTCTGTAAGACCATATGAAAGAACCACCTAGCAAAGTACAGCCTAGACCCATTAACAACAACACAACGTTTTCCTTTTAAGTTCGGTTGCTTACTGGTGGAATGCTTCCTCAAGTCAGCTCACATTGATGTGAACCTCTTCAATGATGGCCCTGAGAAGATTCTGCCAGCATTTTACCACACCTACGAATTTAATAACGACAAGAGGTTTGGGATATTGAAGCCTCACCCAATCGTTTGTAAGTTATTCAAAGGCTACCTGGCAAAACAAGGAGAGATTTCCATGGAAACAACATCAGTACCGATGTTGGTACCGCCACGTCCCTGGCGAGCAACCAAGGATGGAGCCTACCTTATATTACCGGGTGCGAGAATTGTTTGATAACCTTGTTTATCCCTCAGTATTTACTTGTAAGTGTTAATGTCATTTTTAGTGAAACCCTGTAACTCCTCTTTATATTTTAATTATGACATTGTTTTCGGTTCATTTGCCACTTAAGAAACTACAGCAGCCAGGGGTAAGTTTTCTCGTGCAGACTCTCTGTGTCCCTTTTTGGCATCTGCATGTTGCTGGGACAATATGGCGTCTCATCTTTTGCATGGTGCCACAAATGGCAAAATATCTGATCATGTTAAATGCGCCACAATTTTACAATATGTTGCACGGAAATGTTGCTTGCATTTAGCCGTACGTTATTGCTTTAGCCTTTTCCAGGCATTCAGTTAGTTGTGTTGCTGCGAAAAATGGCGCATGAAAAAAAAAGAAAGGAGACGCACAACGTCCGAAAGCACTCCTCGCACCAAGCCCCTCTCTCCTTTTTTTTTTGCCCCGCGGTTTTTATTGAGTGCCTGGAAGGGAGTATTATTGAAGTCCCAGTGAAGAAAACAGAACTGTAATACACAAGATGTCGGTCATTATACATGTAATAGTCAGTTGCTGACTTCACAAGACAGCCCTGATTCCTACTGAAAAACTATTACCTCGGTCAGGTATTATAGATCACGTGAGACTTTGACGGAAGAAAGTCTCTTGTTCCCAGACTCAATTGTTGTGCATATATGTTTAAACGACAAAGATCGAACTTTTGTTTTTGAATTGCAGTTGAGCTTATTCGCAGTGCTGGTGATGAAGACGGTCAATATGACAAACTACTGGAAAGTAAGACTAACAAAGAAGACTTGGTCGCCATATTTGACTCGCTGAACTTCCTTGGAGGGTGTGCCTGGAGAACTAACAAGAGAATCCTGGACATTGCCGTTCACATGTTTAACAATGGCGGCAATGAAGACTTAGCTATACCAGGACCTGTTGTACAACCAGAAGTGGATTCAATATTACTAAAGTGAGAGTCGGTCCTTAACTCAAAAGATCAATTCTCCTAACTTGTTTCTATTTGTATTTTATGTTACTGCTGATGAGAATCTCGTGGTTTCTAAGAGACAACAAATGTTTGCAGTTTGATTGCGGCTGTGTTTGTCGGTTCTTTCATTGCCCAAAATGTTTGCTAAGAGATCGACAGAAAAGTGCCAAAAAAAAACAAAAAAAATAATTACTTATCGCCATTTTTTTCTGTTACTCTGATTCTTCTGCCCCAAATACTAACTTGGTTTTTCGTTGGTTAGCCATTGCCAACCCTCTACAATCTGAGTCAACTGAAAAGGTTTAATTTAACTTTTAAATGTAACGGCATACTAGTGTGCGACAATTCATGTGAAAACTATTAAGTGGTAACTTTAAGTAGCCCTGCTGTTTTCGGTTTTTTTTCCTTATTTTATGACAAGTTTTTGTTTGGTTGATTTAATTTCGAACTGTGGCGCTCATGTGAGTGAAAAGTTCGAGCTGGCCAAAACTGATTCAGGTGACAATGACCATAATGTACTTCCTTCTGACATTCTTCTTGAGCTTTAGTGTTTGTGAATAATTTTCTTCCTATCTGCGTAATTTCGAAGGTCAGCTGATGCAGAGGAGAAAAACAATCTAATCCGAGAGAGGCGATTGGCTAAGAAGCTGGCTCGTGAGCAGTACTCTCTAAGGATGTCTGCCCTGTACAAACTCTCTGTAGCCAATCATTTTCGTGATGACGTGTTCTGGCTGCCAATCAACTTGGACTTCCGAGGAAGAGTGTATCCCATTCCACCGCATTGTGCTCATGTCGGTAAGGACTGGGTCTGTGCAGTAATTATTTCATGCGACCCAACGTTGGCATAGTTTCCTTTGGGAAATGAGTTGTTTTTCTCGCCGCGTTAATATTTCGCTGGGCGTGCGATCTTGCGATCTCTGTGGACAGACCTCATTCTTTCAAGAAAGTGGTATAGCTGAATTTTGTCGTCGCGTCCTCCTGAAGTGGCAACTCTGCACAAAGTGATTTCTCTCACGGGGTCTTTTCTCAAGTGAATGAATTGATTAATTTGCCAACATTTTCTCTTTTTAGGGGACGATCTAAATCGAGGAATGCTTCAGTTTGCCAAAGGTGTTCCTTTGGGCGAGAAGGGCCTTGATTGGCTGAAGATTCACTTGGTGACATTACACGGGGCGAAGAAGAAATCTTCCTTGCAAGAGCGGTTGAATTACGCTAACGAGATCATGGATGATATACTGGATTCAGCTGATAATCCCTTGACGGTAAGTTAGTTTTTTTTTGTTTGTTTGTTTGTTTGTCTCGATGGAAATCTTTGTTTCCCTGTGAGCTGGGTGACTGGTTGAAAATGCTCGTGCAACATGTTCTAACCATTAAGCACAAACATGTTGATTTCTCCAATCAGATGAAAAATTTAAACCAATCGTGAGTCGGGTTTCCGAATTTTCCTGCGCTTTTCTGCAGGTTGCACGGTTTAGCTGTGAGCTCTAATTGGTTCGTTGTTGTCTGATTTCCGACCGAAATACTTCATATAAGCACAACTCATTTTTATCGACTACATGTTTTTTTGCAGGGTCGAGGCTGGTGGAAGACAGCTGATGACCCGTGGCAAACGCTGGCCACTAGCATGGAGATTGCAGACGCCATGCGCTCCCCAGACCCCACGCAATTTGTTTCCCATCAGCCAGTGCACCAAGATGGCTCGTGCAATGGCCTTCAGCACTATGCCGCTCTGGGCCATGACAGTTATGGTGCCAAACAAGTCAACCTGATGCCTGCCGATAGACCTCAAGATGTGTATGAAGAGGTACAACAATATGAGAACTTATTCGCCACGACTAGGAAGATTTCCCAAGGCAACCATTCCAAATTACCTGTCTAAAATTGAAAGAGATGCGAAAAATTGAACCAAAAAACAAAACAAAAAAATAGAAGTAAAACTACTTGAGCGCTTTCATTTGAATGGTCATACTTTATTTTTTATACACAGATTCTGAGGTAGTGCCACCTTTTACAACAGTTTAGTTGTAAATAATTCCACGCTAGGAGTTCCATCGAAGACTTTGATCCACACTGTTGAGTGTAATAAACAGTACGGCTAACGCATTTCATTTGTATGGTCACCCACTAGGGTTCTTTTCACAGAATTAAGAATTACGACATTCCTCATATTATTATAACAAGGTTTCCTAGATTCTGGGAGTGCCTACGTGCTAGTTTATTTCATTATTATTATTTTTTAAATAATTATGGCGGTCAATTATAAACGAACACTGAAAACTAAAATCTGACTTACTTGAGTTATTTCTCTTTGTTCCTTCTGAAACATAGGGCCTTGACTGAGAGCTTCCATCTTTCTCGATCTTGAGCTGTGTAGTTTGTACTGAGTAAATCATCTGTAATACAAATGTACCTTCACAATCGCCCGAATGATGAAGAATCAGTTAGAGCTTTCATAAGCTTTGCTGGCACTTTGTGTGTGCTCACGTGTGACTTATGTTACTCCTGTATAGGTGGCCAAACTTGTGGAAGCAGCGCGAGTGCGTGACGCAGCCGCCGGTCACGAAATCGCCAAGGAACTTGAAGGGAAAGTTACCCGTAAAGTAGTGAAACAGACTGTGATGACCATCGTGTATGGTGTCACGTTCATTGGTGGTCGGCTGCAGATTGAGCGACAGCTGAAAGACTTGGATGTGGAGGGAAATGTTCTTTTTAAGGGCTCTTATTATCTTGTAAACAAAGTTTTTGCCAGCATCGGGGAGATGTTCACTGCTGCAAGAGGAATTCAGGCAAGGTTTAGTGGAATAAACACGATTATAAAAAGCTATAGTGAGCAACGAGCAGTCCCTCTTTTTCCATTGTTGATCAAGCAAGAATCCCCTCCCCCATCCCCCTCAAAAAGCTCCTTCCTTGACCGCGCCTCNATCATTATTATTATTATTATTATTATTATTATTATTATTATTATTATTTAAACTTGTTGGTTTATAAGAAATGTTTTACCTTTTCTCTTACAGAACTGGTTTGCTTCGTCAGCCACACAGATCGCTTTGTCCGGTCATTATGTCGACTGGTACACTCCTCTTGGCCTGTACGTCAGACAGCCCTACTGCAGAAAACCTGTGAGACATGTCATAAGAACCAACCTTCAATGGCTCTTATTACAAGCTACAGGGCTACCTGACATTCCACCAGACACAAGGAAACAGCGCGGAGCTTTCCCGCCAAACTTCGTTCATTCCCTGGACTCCACCCACATGATGCTGACCGCGCTGTATTGTCAGCGGTCTGGGTCGACGTTTGCATCAGTTCACGATAGCTTCTGGACGCATGCGGCCAATGTGGGTGTAATGAATCGAGTAAGTTCAACGGACTTTAACGTTAATTGGGGACATAACGAAATCAAATTTTAGCCGGAGGAACACAGAGGACTGTAATTTTGTTGTGTTTTTTGGCGAGAGACCCGTCACGCTCAGGTTGAGTGTCTCCAGTACTATACGGTGGAGAGAGATATTCTGTAAGGTGTTAATCTACAAGAAATGACCAATTTTATATTCTGTTTCTGTCGGCAAGGGTGTCTTGAGGCTTTTCATCTCATTTCTTTTAGTTGAAGCAAATAGTCTCTGATGTTCATTTCTCCCACACAGATTTGCCGTGAGCAGTTTGTCGCGCTCCACAGCGAACCAATACTGGAAGAGCTGCA